GGGTCCTGCTCTCCGCTCTTCTCCATTGATCGTCCCAGGGACCTCTGCTCCTAGACTGAAAAGTTAATCACTCCCCTCCTTGCTATAAAATGTCCACCTTTACATTTCCAACCCTCACAATCAGTCCTGATAACAGTTATTCACTATTGCATCATAAGAGACCCATCGCATTTCATTTCATCAGCCCTTCCTAGACAGATTGGATACTACTCACTGCAGACTCTACCTTCCTCCACGCCCTCTGGATCTATGTTCCCTCTTGAAAGCTTGTAAGCCAGTCACTTCTTGCTTTTGTAGGCCCTCCCCACCCCCACCCCCACCATTTTGGGTAGCCAATGTCCAAGTTGCCATCCCTGTCTACTCTATGTATGGAGGGGGTAGGAATGATCCTTGCTCTAAAGATTTGTTCCCTTTTTTGAGCTACTGCATCCATAGGTGTAGGTCAAGTTCATCAAATTGTATCAGATTACTCTTTTTTCCCTCTTCTTTTTACTTCGGGTTGAGCTCTGATCATCCAGTCACTGAAGCCAGGTCAAGTGGGTATTATCTGCAAATGTGGGTGTTCTTGTGCATATGCCCTCTCTTTTTATCAGCTGGCCGCTTCACTCTCTCCACTTTAGTCCTCTGTGGCTATGTCGATGACTCTAGGCCCAAGAGTCCCCAGGCCTTGCCACACTGCTGGCCAACCAGGTCTCCACTCGGGTTCACAGGGGTCTATTGAACGTTGTAGGGCTTAGCTTGCAGCTTCATTGCTGTTTTTACCTCACTTCCCCTTATCGGTGACAAATGTGGTCACCAATCAGAGTGTGTATTCCAACTGAGTCTTAGTCTTGGAAGGGGGTTTGCACTGAAGGGGCCCGACCACTTGCCTTGATGTCTCCTGGGCAAACAACTTGCTTGTTCTTCTAGTAACAGTCAGACTGCCTGTATTGTTTTGTATTTTTCCTGTAGGTCTTTCTTTCCATAAGTATCTTCTTTTCTTCTAGCTGCTCCAGGGTGGTAGGTGCCTAATTTTTAAGAGATACAAATCATCTATTTTATCTTCTACTGTTTGTGTGTTTTTTGTAATGTTTGACAGTGTATTTATGCCATGTATTAGAGCCCCTAAGTTTGTCCCTACTTTTTCATTGATGATCTCTATAGTTTTAGGTTTTACATTAAGGTCTTTAATCCACGTTGAGTTTACTTTTGTAAATGGTATGAGGTATGTGTCTTGTTTCATTCTTCTGCAAATATATTTCCAGTTTTACCAGCACCATTTGTTGAAGAGGTGATTTCTTCCTCATTTAATGTGTTTTGGCCTTTTGTCTAAGATCAGCCGACTGTATATGGATAGATTTACTTCTGGGTTCTCAATTCTGTTCCATTGATCTAATTATCTTTCTTTGTACCAGTATTGGGCTGTTTAGAGCACTGTAGCTGTGTAGTAAATTTTGAAATTAGGGAGAGGCCAGCCTCCAATTTTGTTGTTCTTCTTAAGCAGTGCTTTGCTTATCTGAGGTCTCTTTCCTTCCCATATAAAGATAGTGGTTACTTGTCCCATCTCTTTAAAGGAAAGATGTTGGAATCTAGCGTGCAACAGCTAGGAAAGTAATACAAAAACCAAAGAGAGAAAGAGGAAGAGGGGGGAAAAAAGTAAAAAAGAAAAAGACCTAAACATGATTAGAGAGAGGACTGAGTAAAAGAGGAAGAGACCAGTGAGTAGTTAAAAACAAATGAATTAATAATTGAAAAAAAGCAGTAGCAACTGTTGAAAAAGCAGCAGGGGAAAAAAAGAGGGGGCAGGAATGAAAGGGGAGAGCAAAAGGATGAACAAACAAAAATAATGAACAAAATAAACAGAGCTGGTGCCGGGCCCAAAGTGGAGACAATTCTGGAATTCTGGGGTCTCCTACCAGCCATGGACCTTACATTGTGGCTGGGTAAGGGATAAGACAGTAACACTCAACCCTGGATGGATTTCCTGTAAGGCTAGGTGTTGTTTGTTTTGAGCACCCAATCTGGAAGTAGTTCATGCAGACCCCAAAGCAGCTTGGGATCATTCCATCCCATGTGGCGCTGAGGGTGAGCGGTCCCTCTGGTTCAGGGCTGACTAGAACTGGCTCTGCAAGTCTGGAACATGCCACACCTGATTCCAGGTGCTAGGGGGGTTGGTGCTGCTAACTCCCCAGTTTGATATAACTTCTACAGTCCTAGGAGCAGGAGCTTCCCTGGGAGTATACACAGAAGGGGCTGGTCACACTTGTGGTCACCAGGGTAATGTGGGGTACAAGAAAATAGACTTTTGCCCCTTTTCTCAACTAATAAGCAGTATGCCTTTGGACCCACCTACTGCCCTCTTGCTTTCAAAGTTGGCCACGAAAGTTCAAGATGGCCAATGCAGACAGCTCCCCAAGCTTCCTTGGGGGTGTATACTGGTTGGGGCCAGTCTCACTCTGGTAACAAGGGGAGTGAAGAGAACAACAAAAAATCACATCTTATCTTAGAGCCACAGGTATGTTTCTACAAAGCCAATGTTTTCTTGTCTCTGAAAATTGCTCACAGAAGCTCAAGATGGCTGCACCCATCTTGTTGGCCAGCAGAGATCATTAAGTGTTTTTTTGCTATGTCTGCTCAACTCTCTCCTAATAAGCATTCATTCCACTTCTCTATCTGGTTATCTGAAGCTTAGAGTTCCAGAACTATCATCTGCATCTATTTCATTTGGTTTCCCGTATCTTTTATTGTAGTGGGTCTATAATCATCATTTATTCCATTTATAGTATGTAGACTATTTACAAATTTTGGCTTTTAAACAAAATACTTACGTTCTTCTATTTCCAAGGTAACATACCTAGATGGAATTCTGGATACATGTAAAGTACATGTATGTTCAACTCAACTAGTTAATGCCAAACTAGTCAAACCATTTCCAAAGTTTGTTGTTAAGTGCTGTTGAGTCAGTTCCCACTCATAGCAACCCTGTATATAGTTTCCAAGGAGCTGCCAGTGAGTTTAAACTGCCAATCTTGTCATTCAAACCCATATTCTGGTTCAGTGCATATCCTACAGTGCCACACCAGATTTCCAAAGTGGGTTGGTACTGATTTATCTTTCTGACAGCAGGGTGTAAGTTTCTATTTCTCTGGGTCCTTAGCAAGGACCCAATGACACATTTTCACAGCCTAACATTTCTGTCATCCAAGTCTTTGCAACAGCCAACACAATGTTTAATTGCACTGTGCCAGGCCTTGGGCTGAGGGCTCTATATGTGTTATTTTATCCCCACAAGGGTCCTGTCTATTATGTGTTATTTATGCCCAAGTCACTGCCTTCCCCTGACCATTTCCCATGGCCATGTTTCACCTCTTTATTCTCCCAACCTGGAGGAGGCCGGGTCCTATCAGAGCCTCAGTGCCACTCTTCTCCTCCTCAGGCAGTTACTCTCTGTCAATCCGTCTCAGCCGCCCCACATCCTGGGACCGGATCAGACACTACAGGATCCATCGCCTTGACAATGGCTGGCTGTACATCTCACCACGTCTCACCTTCCCCTCACTTCAGGCCTTGGTGGACCATTACTCTGGTATGGCTTTTCCCTGTCTCCATGGGGTGGGAGGGCAGACACTCTACCTGCTAGAGAATACTGCAGACAGAGAAGAGGGTTTGCAGTCCTTGTGCTACAGGGGTACCAGGCATCCTGTGGAGCTTCACCGCCCTCTCTCAGCTTCGCTGTTCCCAGATCTGGTTGATCAGAGCTCAGAGCAGCAGGCATCATTCTCTCCATAGGAATTAAGCCCAGAGCTGTTGCTGTTGTTGGATTTACTTCTGATCTTCTTAGCAATTCCTGGTGCCTGTCCTGTAATAGGCACTGGAGGATGGAGTCACCAGGACCTGGTGTCCAAGGGACGGAGAGGGAAGACCACTTCCAGGAGACCTGATGAACAGTTGTCTGGAGCGTTGCTTCATGCAAAAGTAGATACCAATGTTACTACAAGTAGATTGAGCACTTCTCCATCTACAAATAGGAGCTCAAAAAGGCCCATTAACTCACCCAAAGTCACACAGTGAATTAGGCCTCCCAAAACCAACCCTTATATGACCTCTGACCGCATCCCAGCTCTAGGAGAGCAACTATTTGGGGCTCAAGCCTTGTCACTAACTTTTATGACCATGCCCATAAATGGGAAAAGCTGTCAGGGTGAGGGTAGGTGTTGGGGAACCAAGTGGGGCTGGTTCATCATCAGCAGTATCAGTGGTCCAGGTCTCTTCCTCAGAACTGGCGGATGACATCTGCTGCCTCCTCAAGGAGCCCTGTGCCCTGCAGAGGGCTGGCCCACTTCCTGGCAAGCCTATACCCCCACCTGTGACTGTGCCAACAATGCCAGTGAACTGGAAAGAGCTGGACAGGTAAGGGGGTCCTGGAATATACACATGGGGCAAAGGGGATTTAAAAGATGCTACCTATAGGAACTATGTATGGCTCTGTTACCTGAGAGCCAAAGAGCAGCATTGGCTGAATTCCTGGAGTCCAAACCAGGCTCAGCAGGTCTGGACATACTGTTAGAGGAAGAGGAAGCAGGCACCGAGTCCTCAGTGGAAGTCACACTGGGGTTTGATCTGATAGGGAGATGGAGCTTTTCAGCAAGAGGGGTTGAAGATAGGTTTTTGAGGACAGTGAGTTGTAAGTTGCATGCAGGGAGCAGCATGAGGCTTGACTTGGCTCTCTCCTTTTCTCTACAGCTCCTTCCTGTTTTCTGAGCCATCTGCCACAGGAGAAGCAGCTCTCCTCAGTGAGGGGCTCCGGGAGGCTCTCAACTCCTATATCAACCTGACTGAGGACAAATCCTTGGATGATGCCAAAGCCAAAAGCATAGGTCGAAAGGGAAACCAGGGCTTCAGCACCTAGAACACCAACTCAGCTCAACCTGATGAGCACCCCACACGGAAGGCAAGACTGTGTAATTGGGGGAGGGCTGGTGACAGAGCTGTATCTAGGATCCCTGTGTCCTCTGCCCCTTCCTCTCTTGGAAGTCAGTTACCTCCTCCCAGAGGCACAGCCTCACCCCTCAACTTCTAGTCCCCAGGTAAAGCAGGGCCAGGACTCCAAAAACATAAAGTAAATTTTCCTTGAGGGTCTTCCAAGCCAGTTTCTGAATCACACTGCATTTGGGCCAGAAGTGTGGCTGAAAGATCTTGGTCATGTTCAAATGATAAGCCACAAAATGAAGTCATAGATCTGTCCACTGGGACTGTCTAGAGAAAAGGGGCTTGATTGCAGCAGGGGTGGACCTCAATGCCCCACCAAGTCCCTCCTCTGAGGCCAATCACATCTCTAAGTGCTAGGCAGGAACTGAAAGCCAGGCCTGGCACCTGTGTACAGAGATCCTCCCAAATGTCCCAGATCATCAAAGGTAGTAAGCCGCCCCCTTTCACTGCCCTTTCTCCCTTTCCACAAAGCCAAGGTTGCAGCCAAACCAGCTCAGGCCCTTGATGTCCCTAAGCCCCAGAGAGGGAGCAGGTAGAGAAGAGTGTGGTGGACTCGGCACTATCTCTAGTGCTCCTACTTGGGTTCCAGGGCTAGAGGTGTGAGGGGAGGGATGGGGGAAGGTAGTCAACAGGTTTTCAATTAAAGATTTGATTTATTCAAGTATCTGAAAACATTCTATAATGTAAACTCTTATTAAATGTTTATACTTGCTGTGGACCACACATATATATTGCCATACTGTTTTCAGAAGACTTGAAATGCCACTGATAGTTTAAAAATTGTACACCCGTTGGAGAACTGAGGAAGACAATTTAATGTTTTGTCTGGATCCAGAAATGCATCAAAATGAATGACCCACTCCAATCAGCAAGTGGTGTTTAGTGATGGGTATCCATGGAGAAATGGCTGCAATTCAGAAATGCTTCTTCTCCCAAAAGGTGGATGATTTAAAAAGTTTCAGGTCATAACCTTTGCAGAAGACAGTGATGCCCAACACACTTGATTCTCAGTCCAGAAAACATGGGTCTTCTAGGGTCCCTGTTATGGAGTGCCCCTAGAATCATGCTTCTGTGCTGTGACTAGGATGGTCCTTTAGACTGGACAGGGAGCAGGGTGGGGGCTGTACACCATCAGTCATAGTGGATGGCAGTGTAAAAGATGATCCAAATGACCTAGAGGGACACAAACAATGTTCACAGGTTACTTGGATCAGTGGTGGCTTTCTGAGGCCCAATTCCACAATGCGTTTCTCCCAGGAGTCACTCTGTTTGGCAGCCTAAGTTATTTCACTGAAATCTAACAGTATCAGGACTTGGGGGTTCCCTAAATCCCAGATACCTAATTCATATGAACCCAAAACCACCAGCATCACCTCCATGTTAAATAAAGCAGTGGTTCTCAAACTGGTTCGCCACTAGAATCTCCTGGGGACCTGAAAAATTGTATATAGATTTCCAAGCTTCACTTTGCACAAATACTGATTTATAGGGTCTGGCTATGACGGGGTATCTGTGTATAATCCTTAAAAACTTCACTAGTTCCATGTTAACAGTCACTCTCCATCCCCAGATCTTATTTCTGTTTCGATGGATAGTTCACATAAAAATGTGTGTCTGTTTTCCTCTGTGGTGTAACACGTATCAATACTTCATTCTTTAAAAAACGGCTGAACACTTTATCCTCTCATTACTCAATAGACATTTGAATTGCTTCTGTATAGGTAAGTCAAAAAGTATTGCTACAAAATCATTTATTAAACAAAAACATCAGCGTGAAGGTATTTTTTCTTGACATATTCGCTATCTAGGTTTATATACTTCTGAATGGGGTGTTTTTATATCTCTAACCTTTCCCTGAAAAATCCTGTGCTCTCTGATTCGTACCATGTCAAAATGGCCATTTTGACATCCTTGAGTTCCTTTCAAACGCTCTTTGAATTTTGGGAACAAAAAGTCTGAATTAGCAAGACCAGGGCTGTAGAGGTGAAATTCCCAATGAAATTCTCACAGGACAGCCTTTGGTACCCTTGAGGAATGAGCAGGTGTACTATCATCACAGAAGCAAATTCTTTGGCACAATTTTCCTGACCTTTATCTCTCAGACATGCATTTTTCAATTTCATAAGCCATGACATCAGAATTGTTTTTTTTTCCCTTGGCACTAAAAATATGCTTTTTCGATGGTACCTATCAAGACCAAGACAAGTATGTTACAAAGTTTCTTTGGACCACCCAGAGCAATACTTTTTGACTACCCTCATATTTTTAAATGCTTCAGTTGCTTCTAATGTGTAGCCAGGATTTGAGAATTAGATATAAATAATGCTGGGGCAAAGATTCACACATCACAGCCATCGCATCACATTTTGGGGGACAACATTAGGAGGCCATGCCTCAGAGGCCTTTTGAAAAACAACATCCAATCACTCAGTTAATTTGGCCAATGAATGGTGCTTCATGGACAATCAGTTACACATACCATGAACAAGGCGAAAGATGTCATAAACCCTTCTTTCGTGAGCTCCCACGTGCCGCCATATTCTTCCTCATCTATCTGTAGGTAGTTGCTGAAGTAGAGGTACAGGACTCCTGCATTGATCAGGCAGAATCTGGAGTGAGAAAGGGCAAGCACAAACACAAAGTGTAAACTTAATCTTCTATCCACGGTGTTCCTGTTAACAGCGTCTTCCCCTGCCATGACGGACCTGGAAAAAAAAGCAGCTTTCGGCTCAGAAAGACCTGGATTCCAACCTGAGCTTTACTTCATGGTCATGAAACCTTGGACAAGTCTCTTGACATGGATCTTGGTTTCCCCATATGTAAAACGTGTTTGAGTATTATAGGGCAAGTGAAACAATACATGAAAATGCCTAGACTCTCAAGGAACTCCTGGTGTGGCATGGTAGGATAAGCACTGGACTGCTAATTGCAAGGTTGGTGGTTCAAACCCACCAGCAGCTCCTCATATACAGGGTTGCTGTGAGTTGGAACCAACACGACAGCACTTTACAGACTTTGAATGGAGGGTCCCACTTGGCCAAGTTAGCTTAGTGACTTAAAGGAGGAACAATTCTTTTTAGTTGCCCAGCAAAAGCATTAAAAAATAAAAATAAAAAAAGGCACACTGCACCCCTCTACTCTTGAAGACAGAATGGCTATTGAGTAAGCTATTCCAAATCAGATAGATCCAATACCTGGTCTAGACCTGCAGCTCGAGAGGAGTGGAGCCATGGAGCAAATACGTGTTAGGCTGTTGCTTGATAGCCTAGCCGAGTAAGCAAAAGCACACTAAATTGTCCCCCTGCATAATTCCCAACAGGAGAGAAATATCTGGATGCTCATCAACCTGTACTTGATATGGAGGTAAACCCAACAGTTCTGCCTTCCGCTCCTCATCTATTAGGGACTAAGGACAGCAGGGAGACTAGGACTGAAGCCAGGTGTTTGTGAGCACTCCCAGGAAGAGCTTACCATCCTGCCTAAAGACCAGGTGGAAGAATGTAGAGAGGTTAACTCCTGGGATGGATGGTGTGGGCTAGTGTACAGGAGGGCAGTGTCGGAGGCTGAGGAGTGTACACCAGGATGCAAGGGGAGGTTGAGACCACCCTGCACAAGGTGAGGGTGGGGTATATCTATACTTCAGGATGCCTAGTTTCTAAGTGGTGAGAGTGCTGTGTACATAAGCTTTCTCAGGAGTGGTGGGAGCAGAGTCTGGGAAACTGATTTAAACTTGTACTTCTGTTTCAGGATACAAAACCAGTTAAAGGTTGTGGGCAGGACTGGATAAGTGGCTCAATGGGAGAGGGAAAGCTTCAAGTCTAAGCTCCTACACATGGTTCCAGAAACAGAAGCCAGGGAGTCATCAACAACCAAAGGTTTTTCTTAGAAGGATTTCCTACAAAATACAGTCCTTGCCTTAGCCATGCTTTGGCTACACTCTTACCTTTCTACCAAACATCATGGGACTTGCTAAATCTGGTCACCCCTCTCTTGACAATTTCCTTCTGGACAGGCTGGCCTAGTGGCTCTAAATGGAGATGACTCCTAAGAGTGAGAATGTCATTCTGAGGCCCAGAGGTAGTTAGGGCTGGGCGATGACTGGAGACTTACTGAGAGTCTCCAGCTGTAACCATGGCTGCTTTGTGAGATAAGACATGTGAGCATAGTTGACAACAGAAGGTTTAAGGCAAATCATGAACAGCAAAATCTGGAATAAGCAATGAGATAGAAATGAGAACCAGTTTGGGACTGTGTAAGGAATGAATGGGTGGTTAAATGCCCAGAGCTCAGTACCCTGATCAAACCAGATTTCGAGGGTCTACTAAAAACACAAGGCCTGGCACACAGGCCTGAGAACACCACAACCTCAATATCACTAGTTTTGGCACTCAGTCATCATCACTTTACCCCACCTATTTGTGGTCTCACCAGCTAAACACTAAGTATGATGTATTTTTTTCTCCAATCACACTATCTGTTGACAAGAATCACCATGTCAGTAAGAGACTTGATTTGATGAAAAGAAATAGTGGCAGCAATACGCCAACTAGAGTACAACCCAACCATCTACCTTCCCCAACATGTATAAGTCTCAGGACTAGAAGAGAAAAAGGCTTACACATTAGGCTCCAACCTTCCAGAAGTTAAACAACCAAGCAGAAAGTGAACTCACAGAAACAAAGGCATCTGAATGCACTGCTGGGTAGTCAAAGACTCAAACGGAGTTTAAGGATAGATGTGATGTTACCATTGTGTCAACTTGGCTAAGCTATGGTGCCCAATGATTTGGTCTGGATTTTGTTATGAAGGTACATTAATTTGAAGTAAAAGAGATTACTCTCCAAATTGTGGTGTGCCATCAAGTCAGTTCTG